AATGAATTTTTTGAATTCCAGGTCTTTATAAACATCCTCACCTCCCCCATTGGCCTGCAAACAGAGAAAAGTGCTTACAGATTTGCAAGCTCATAAGAACATAACAAAGAAATGGAAACATGCAGAAGAAAGCTAGCTTTTTAATGTACAGGGAACCCATTAGTGATGAATTTGGCAGAGTAATTAAAAATTGCATTATTTTTTAAAAAAGAGACTTAATTAAGAATAATTTAAAAAAATTATTACAATGCAAAATTAGGTATACTTAAAAAAGTAATGATATCTACCAGGGCACTGGGAATGACTGAAGTGCAGGACATGGGATAACCTAGACTGTTCATCTTCCCTCAGATTTACAAGGTGTCTGGAAGCGAATGACACAAAAAGTGCTAACTGCAGGAGGATTCGGGTTCTTCACAGCGGCCTCTGCCTGTGTGCTCTGAGATCCCTGGGCAGGCCTAAAGGGGACGATGCAGGAGATACAGTATGAAGGTGGTATAGAATGTAATCTTATCTCCCAAAGAACTGCGGCTGAACCAATCACTAAAGATCAGGAGCAGGCCTGATGTTAACAGGCCACACCTGTGGCCAATAAGAACAGTGTTATAAAAGAGTGGATAGGCGGGCTCTGGAGTCAGATGGCTGCTGCAAGGACCAGGGACAGTCAGTGCTCAGAGGAGCTGCCTGTGAGAAACATCGAGGAGGTACCAAACTCTGGTGATATGGAATCCTTGCACTATAATGATAATAGAACACTTGATATATAAGACAACAGGAGGATGTACAGCACCTGACATTGCTATTGAAAGCCCCTGAGGCAGCAGCAGTTCTTGTCTCTTTCCTGAACAGCACTTGGCAGAGGTCTGTGTGCCACCACTGGCATGTGCCATGATTTGGGAAGCTCTGTCTAAAGACTCCCAGTGCCAACTTGGCTGTTAAGTAATCACAGTCAAGCAATTATTTCTGCAGCATTCTCCCATTTCTCTTCTTTTCCCATATGAAAAAGAATCTATGCCTTAAATAGACCAAAAATCAAGAAAATATGATATTCATTGCTAAACTTTTACTATTTTTCTCCTCCTTTGTTATTTTTGATTGACCCGAAGTATATAGCTTCTTCATCTGATGCAGATCACTGATTAAAACAATCTTGTTGAACATCTCTCTAGCCTTCTCATGTGAGAAAACCAAAGTCTCTCAGGAATGTTTTCGTCTGAAATTTTCTCTGTGAATTTAGGATTTATGAGAACTACTGGAATAAGTTTAAAAAAAGACTGGATCTTTGGGGCCTTTTTGCATTTATTAGGATTGTAATACCAGAGCCAGAGTGAAACAATACTTAAGTACCTTTGTGAAACTCTGCAGCAGATAGCAGTAATGAAAAGTAATTCTAGACAGGATAACGTAGCTGCAGTGCATCATAGTCTGGATCAGAATTCTTGCAATATTTTCAAGTGCTAGGATACTGCTGGGGCTTTTTAATGAAAGTGCAATAACATACCACAAGTTTAATTTCATTTATCTGGCCATATGCAAATCAATAGCTCCCACGATGGTGTCTAATCCTCATTAACAGGAATGGATCAGTTTATCCCTTAGGCAGGTGAGTAGGTGGCTGGCAGCTGTAGAGTTAACAATAGTCTTGCTTTTACTGATAACATTTGGGGTGATCACTTGACATCATATTTAAATCACCACACAACTCCATCAACTCATCCCACAGTTCATCTCTTATCAACATACCGAAGATGAATTTCACACAGACCATTCATCGAGGTAACAGCTGGGACTGGCTTCGTGTCCCTTCCTGCTCCTTCCACAGATGAATTGCTGTAACATCAGTAGTACTTATCAATGTATTACCATCTGGTCAAGTGTTATCAAACCAAGATGGACATCATGCAATGCAGATTGTTTAGATCCAACTTTGCTCAATTAATTCTTCCTTAATTCTATCTCCTCATTTTGTCTTAATTCCATATCCTAATATAGGGTCCCTGCTACAGATTTTCTTCTGATCTCCTATCTCCCATGAGTTAGCTAGATGTTTACAGAATTTTTAGATGCAAGTACTTTTTTAATTTTCAGTTGGTGCTAACTGGAGTCATTGGATCAGTGGCAAATCACTGGTTTCATAAATTTAATGGGTATAGCATATAGGGGATAATACAGAAAGGATTATGTAAAAGATTTGTATCTTCAGGAAATGCTGGCTTCCACAGTGCCTGGTGCTTAACAATAAGCTACTGTCTCAGAGCACCTGGCTGCTTTGCAAAGTAGGCAGTTTGTGTGACTTGATATGCAAAACACCGAAGCTAATCCAGTCAGACAATCCTTGATCACTTTGTGACTCCTCAGGTAAATAAGTAAAAGAATGTTCCTTGGTGCATGTCTTCTAATAATCTAATGAATGACACTGCAGGTTGGTAAAACTGCAATCTTCTAAATATTTTATTCCTGTTTCCATTCTGTTCCTAAAGCAGGAACAGATTCATTACTGCTCTGTATGGACTGTATCCCTGGGCATTTCCTTGCCATTGATTGCTGTTTCTCTAAAACAGGCTCTTTGTCTCCATTCCTTCCACTTTCTGCTGTTCCATCCTCTGTTTAATTCATCTCATTATTTTGATATTGTCCTTCTCCTTCCTTTTAAAACATGAAGATCACCTTTTCTTCCTTGACCTGCCCATCGTCCTACACAAAGCCCTATTAAATTTCCTCCCTCCCACAGAGCCTCCTCCCTCTGAATCCTAGAAAAGCATCAATTCAGGAGGAGCTACACTGAAAAGAAAATGAGGTAGCAAAAATATATGTGTGACAGAAAAATATAAGAAATTAGTAGCTATAATAGAAAGGTTTCAGGTGAGCTAAAATCAATATAGCATCCCAAATGTACATAAGCTATTAAAAAAAAAGAAAACCAAATACAGCATGAATTTTCAGAGATGCAGTCTCCCCCTTATTTTTTTTCCTTTTCGTGTAGCCACCAGTTGCTATGTGGTCTCTGGGAAAAAGTGACTTTGCCAAAAACCTCAGGCTTGTCTGTTCTCTTTTGTTTTTGGTTCAGTGTTGTGATCTAGAGGAGTACTAAAAGACAGAGGGGGATCATATGGCTCCTGTGTCCATTACAGGAGCATCTCTAACCTTTGTAGTTCAATCTGTACAATAGAACTGAAATTCTGAAGCATCACCATATCTACCAACTGTGAGCTGTTTTTTAATAATAATAGTAATCATTCCAGCTTATGTTACTCATTCCTTGCTGCGATGTAGCACAGGCCAGCAACTGCATTTACTCCACAGATCTTAATCCAGCCTCTGTGAGAAGCAATTTGTTGGGGATTTCAAAACATCCGCTGAGATCATACGAGAGTTTTATACAGAAAACCTCTCATAATCTCTCTCAAAACTCAAATATGGAGTTATTTCTGGATCTTATGCTTCTTTTGGACCAGGCTTGGCTGGAGAGTTTGAACAGCATGTTAAAAACAACTGCAGTGCAAGCTGAATGTGATGAGGGAAGGGTTGGGAGCAGCTGCTTCCACAGGCTCACAGAATCCTTTGGGTGCAGCACAGCAAGGCAGGTGAGCACCTGCAGACACCTCCTTCCAGCACACTCTGCAAGTGCACAGATACCTGACCTCATAAATTTAAACCTGGCTTTCAGTGAACGGGGCCCAAGTGAAGAAACATGACTTGTAGTGTTCTGTTTGCTCATGTGAGGCACCTTTGTTTTGCCCAAAACCAATGTAGGGTTTACTACCAAAGCAGAAAACAAAGCAAACGTGTCTTTCAGTGCTGCCAGAAGCTGGATTCTGAAGAGGACTACAACAAGAAGAATTACATCTTTTAGTACAAATGTGTGAGTGGAAGAAAAAGGCTAACAAAACAAGGGTGCAAAACTACAGGAAAAGTAAGGACTGCTCATTAAGAGTAGTACATAATGAGGTGTTCCATAAATTTATTCAGAATTTGCTGTGGCAAAACTTCATGAGATATTTCCTGATATAATCTGCATAGTGTAAGGAATTACAATGACATTTTGAGGACTCCTTCTAGGTTAAGAGAACCAAAGAAATAAGGTAAAGCAGCTTCTTCAGCTTAGTGCCTGCATAAATTCCTTAGAGAATGGAAATGCATTTTCCAATGCCACCTAGCTGAGACTCATTAAACATTCATTTATTAATTCTGTATTTTTTAGAACACTGATAGCAGCAATCTACCGATCATGAACACATGATGCAGACAAATTAAGAATTATACTGATTATACTTGCAAAGAAAAATGAGAAGAAAATCACCATCTGCATTTTTAAAAATACATTATAAAAATGTAAAATCCTACATTATAAAAATGCACCAAAATACATCTAAAAATGAAATAATGCCATCAAATACTGCAAAAACCTTCACACCTAATCAAAAAGAAAGCAAGCTTTCTCTTTAGGCAAGGCTGATCTTTGCTTTGGGATGACATTGCTCTCTTGATGTATTATGCTCTCTGTAGAAACTGAGGAGACCTGTCATATTTAAGGTGAACCATATTTAAAAGAGGCTTTTTCATTTGAATTTTAATATCCAGGATATTAAATTATTGAAGAATTTTTAAAGAAGCTCTAAATCATAGAATCATTTAGGCTGGAAAAGTCGCTCTTAAATCATGGAGTCCAACCATCAACCCAGCACTGCCAATCTCACCCCTAAACCATGTCCCCAAGTGCCACATTCACACATCTCTTAAATACTTCCAGGGATGGGTGACTCCTGCGCTTCCCTGGGCAGCCTGCTCCAATGCTGGATAACCCTTTGATCCTAATATCCAATCTAAACCTCCCTGGCACAACCTGCAGCCATTTCTTCTCATCCATGTTCAAGATTAAGAAGCATTTGGTCATAAAATGTTATAAAATCATGTATTACTTCTCTTCCCTCATTTTGCTTAAAGGTAGAGCTGCTGCTAAAATACACTAAGTTTAATACTTTTTTTTTTGATGTTGCTAGGTGTCAGGAAGCCCCCTCAGACCCTGATGAAACTGAACATCAATTTAGCTGCTCTGTGAAAGCAGAAGGAGGTTATGAGGTATTGTGGACTCTTGCTTTCTTCTCCTTCATGAACTAAATGGGAGCTTTTACTTAAAAGATCTGATCCCTGAGCACTGCTCAGATTTATCTGCAGCAATTTAAAGGGTAATGACTCCAGCTGCCAAAAATTACTCTTACAAGAGATGCAATGGAGCTGGCCATGAGTCTGTTCCTCATCTACTGTACTTTACTTCCCCACCAGCTATTAATGCACATTGAGATGACCTCCAGGGCTTCTCTCCCCCAGCTCCCTCAGGCTCTCCTCCTGCCAGATGCTTGAGTCTCATCACCATCTCTGGGGCTGCTCCAGGACCTGCTCCGGTGTGCCCATGAGCCTTTGTACTGAGGAGCCCAAAACTGGACACAGCATCCCCAAAGGGTCTGACCAGTGATGAATAGAGGGTTCAGAAGGTTTGAACAAAGCTTCTAAACCAGCACCCACAATAATACTTCAAGGTTATTTAAAGAGAAAGTATAATTTTTTCTTAAAATGGGGCCTAGAGACCTTGCTTATACTTTCCATAAGATCTTGTGGAGTTCATTCCCAAGATGTGGTTTAAGTCAATTTTTAATCCACACTTTCTGATTTTTCTTTTGGGGTGTAAGGTTTACAGAAAACTTCTGTCCTTTTTTTATTCCGTTAGCACAACACTTTCAGTTTGCTTGTGGGAGGCAGAACCAGCACTGGGCTTGTAACCACACTTGGGGAGCTCAGGACCACAGGGTTTACTTTCAACTCTCAGCTATCTTTTAAATAACTTTTTTTAATCCAGTCTAGTCTGTTTCTCCAGATCTTTGGTGATGGGTTTTTGGCATGGTTGCTTGAACATAAACCCAGCCCAAACTGAGATCAACAGGTCAGCTGAAGAATTTAACACTGATTTTAGCTGGTTGAAAAATCATTTTTAAACAATTGTCTATGGAACTCTGAACTGGCAGTCTTCTGAACTTTACTGGCCTTACTCATGCACATACCCGACTGCCTTTAACAATCAAGGCCACTCAGGGAGTATTTATTTATCTGTAAGGAAATACAGGAAGATCTGACAGAATTCAACGTGACAATGCTGCTTTTCCTGGCAAGCTGGATTTGCTGGCTATTGGAGTGGGCAGTTTAGATGAAAACATCTGAAATCCTTTAAGTTGGATTTTTGCAATTGTTGTATTTTATGTATTTTCTTTCTAGTGAGATGTTAAAACAAAGAAGAAAGCAGAAAAATATTAATAAATGTTACATTCTCTTTGGATAACAAGAGAGGCCACAAAGAGAACACATACTCCAAATCACTAGGTATGGAAAAAATTCCAAACATTATTTCATTTCTGCTTTTGCCTGGTGGCAAGTAGCCTGATGGAAACCTTAAAGGCTGTGGAGAGAGGGTATACTTAAAAGCAGGCAGATAAAACTGACATGTTTGTGTACTCAGCCAGCTTAAAGGCTCAAATAAAAATGGTATGTCCCTTACAAGAGGGAAGGTAATACTTCAGCAAACTACAGGTGACTCAGAAAGACAGGGAAGATCAAGCAGTAGGTGTAAGGAATCCAAAACATGCATGGGAAATGCTGGCAGCAGCAAACACTAAGATTAAAATTTCAAGATTACACAGCATGTGTGTAGCCACACAAGACCACTGTAGCTTTGCAGAGACTGTGTCAACATTACAGTCCTAAACATTTCTCATTCTGAGGAAGAAACTGCAGGATGTTTGCTGCTCAAATTAGAGACTACCATCCCTCCCTAATAATGTATATGTATGTATGTAACCAAGGAAAATGAGAAAAGGAAAGAAAGGAGCTTAGTCTTTTCTTAGGACTTGGAAATTCAAACAGGAGAGCAGCTATGAAATGTTCTAGTCTTGACATGTTCTCTATAGATAAAAGTAACGATGTGAGAAAATTACGTAGGAAGAGAATGGAACAGGCATAATGGAATGTGTCTTGTCTTGAGTGCCTCGTACTTTTTGCCCCAAAACTGTGGGAAATTTGATACCTACACATACTAAATATGGCATTCTCAAACTGGGTCACAGGCAAGTTAAAATTTTATATGATGTTGATAATAATATTAATAGTAATAATACAGTTAGTATAATAATGAATATTAAATAATTGCAACAATATATGGTATGCTTATAAAGAACATTGCAGATCACTTCAGAAAAGCATTTTCCAGAAAAATTGTGGTTTGAGTTCACTTCTACTGGTTTTTTTTGGCTGTGTAAACACAGTCAGGGAGGGGTACATCCAAATGGTTCCATCCCGAACATGGTGCAGTATCAAGTGTAAGGAGAAACTTTTATTTCCCATACAAATGCCAGTTGGCCTCCTTGGAAATTCTTTAATGCTAGATCTCAAAACACTGAAATTTTTACCATTTAAAGATTCATTCCCTTCCCCTCCATAGAATTACATAAATGACAGCTTTTTATATCAGAGAGGATGTGAAGGGTTAAAAGGTACATATGCTTATATTTTTTTTCCATATCTGTCTGCAGGTTTTCACATTCCTGAGATGATCCTTCTTCTGGAAATCCTTGATGCTGTGATACTTTATTAACAAACCTCAAACACTTGTTCGTGTGTTAAACAGCTGGTACAAGACCCTCCAGCCTTTAGGAGTGTGTCTAATCCTTACTAACACAGGCAGTCTCCTTAAAAACGCACAGTTGAAGACTCCTTGAAACAAGAGCCTGGACCAACAGATCCTCCCACTTTTTTATTAAACGATACTCCGATTAATATCAAATAAATTCAAGTAAAAGGTCAAACAAAAGAGACAGGATGGGGTTGATGCCTATTTATAGCTCATGTCACCCTAGGAGAGAGCACAAAAGGGGCAGCACTTCTCGTGCTTTACCCCAGCTCTACGTGGAGGTTCTGCCACCCACCCCGGGGCTCGGAGGGGATTTCGGGGCGCTAGGCCTTGGCACTGCCGCCCCTTTGGGGAGACTTTTTGGGGCTGGGGCGCGGCTGTGACCGCGGCTCTGAGCAACCCAAACAGCCGCCGCCACAGGCTTTCCACCTGGAGGGAGAGAACGAGCTTTCCTTCCCTCATCCTGCCTGCTCCCTTTTTTCCTCAGCTCGTCACATCTGGGTGGCGTCTCTCACGGCCCACATTGCGCTCTCCAGGGAGCAGCAGGAGGAGGAGGAGGAAGGACAGCGCGCCCGCCCCTGCTGGAAGTTTGGGTGGCAGAAGCGACTCGCCGGGATCGTTCTGGCAGCGGCAGGAGCCGGAGCTGGACCATCCAAAGAACCTCCGCTCCCGCACAGCTGCGCCTTTCCTCCGGAGGGGGTCCGCGAACGCGGAGCGCCCGCCTGGGGGCCCGCTGTTCGCACTGGGTTTCTGTGATTCTTAAAAAAACAAAAAATCTCCCCCGCCCTTCAAAACCACCCCTTCCAAAAGAAAAAGAAAATTGCTTCAGGAAGGGCAGACTTCAGTTATTGAACAGCTACAGAACTCAGCCCTAGTGAGGCCACGTCTGGAGGGCTGTGTGTGGTTGTGGGCTCCTCAGGACAAGAGAGATAAGGAGCTGCAGGAGGGGGTCCAGGGAAGGGACACGAAGATGACGAGGGGTCTGGAGCATCTCTCTTATGGGGAGACTGTGGGAGCCGGGATCTCTTCAGTCTGGAGAAGACCGAAGGGGATCTCATTACTGCACATAAATATCACAAAGGTGGGTGCCCAGAGGATGGTGCCAGACTCTTTTCAGAAGTGCCCAGCGACACGAACAGGACTAATGGCTATAAGCTAAAACACTAGAAGTTCCACCTCAGCATGAGGAGGAACTTTATACTGAGGGTGACAGAGCACAGGAACAGGCTGCCCAGGGCGGACTCTCCCTCTCTGGAGACATTCCAGACCCACCTGGACGTGCCACCTGCTCCAGGTGACCCTGCCTTGGCGGGGGGAATGGATCCCATGATCTCCAGAGGCCCCTTCCCTACCAATTCTGTGAACACTGCAATAGTCTGGGACAAGTTATTGCCCACAGCCTCCAGGCCGTCCGGGCCTCCACGCGTCCGACACCCAGGTGAGCGGCGTCCCC